TAAATTATAGTAAGTCTTGATATTGAATAAACAAAGTAAATACGTAAAATAATTCTTTTTCCACAAGGAAAGCTTTTCCCACATCTCCCATATCACTCACTTGGATCTGGTTCATGGGAGCAGTTGCTGACTTCGCCAAAGATGAAGATACGCTGCTCCCCATCCTAAATGGAATTAAAAAGGTCGACAGAGTTTAGTAAGCATTGAAGGTAATTTATCATGAGTTCTATTTGAAGAAAATCTTATATACAAATATATCTAAACTTACAAAATAAAAAAAAAATTTACTTATTATTAGTACAAAAGTTTACAAAGCATTCGTTTACTAAAACCAAAAGGGCCTACGCGCTTATCTAACTAGCTTTCCAATGCCCTAAATTATTTAATAAGATCGTATTTACTGTGTTTAAAGCCCATCACATCTTCATTTATGACCATGGAATTTCAAATATTCTGTCCTACTTATTGGCCATATGACCTGACCATTGGTTAAAAAATATAGTTTCCATTTTCCTATTAAAACTTGACGAAACTCCATGAACATTCTGTGAAGCAGAGAACCTACAAATACGTAAAGACTTTAAGGAACCTAAGGTAGCTCAACCACAACAGCCCAGAGCTCCAAATACTCCAGTCTCTAATGTGGGCACAGCAACCACTCTCATCTCTCAGAGGGTTTTGTGAGGATTAAATGAATTGATATACAGGAGGTAGAACAGTGCCTTACACATAGTAAGTGTTCAATAACCTTTGGCATTATTACCATTACTTCCTGCTTACAGGGCCCCTCGTTATCTCAGTATTTATCATCCAAACCCTAGCTGTTGGGAGCTTGTAAAAGAAAGCATTTGTTGTCAGGAAAATATTCATTAAAAAACCAACCAGTTTAACATCATCAAATCTCTCTCTTTATCCCTAGAACCTTTCTTTCCCCGTCCACTCATCCTTCTTGGTCAGACAGGCCCTACTGCATTGCTGGAACAGTATCAAATACCACGATGCACACTAACTGCAGAGTGAAATTACTACACAAATCTTACAATAGGATAAGATATAACAGATGCTTCAAAAGAGAATTACTCAAATATCTAAGAAATAAGACAGTAAAGATTTGAAGCTTCAAATTTTTTTTTAAAAATA